AAGTAAACAGCGAATTGTCTTAAGCGAGATCTTGCGCTTGGTAAGAAATCTGCTGTTGTTAACTGACCCAACTAGACCAAGTCGAAGGTGAAATTTTTTCTGAAAACCAAACATCAGCTTCGCATGTTCATATATACAAAACTATGCCATGAAGTGACATGGAACATAAAGAGGCGTGGCCCTTGTTTCATTATGAGTACAATGGCATGTAGTTTTATCTGTTTGGAGCCTATATTTATAATGTATGTTTTTGTTCAAGCAACAGTACCAACCCCCTTTGCGGTCCGCATAATCGTCGCTTGGTCCCGGCCGCACCCGCCGGCCCTGGATCGTCTTGCAATGCCGTAAAAATTGATATTTGAAACCAGAATTGCTGGGGGCACTTTTTATGTCAACACGCGTGCAATGGATGGCCCGGAGGCCACCAAAGATCTGAGCAGGATTGCACAATATGCCACATTGGTATCCTCAGAGAACCGTAGGGGGAGGGGAAGGGACATTGCCCACCTCCCCCGCGCTGTCAGGGGGATTAACTTGTTCAGAAAGAGCTATCCGCCTGATGTGAAGTTATCGACAAATTTTGATGCAGTTGTTGGGGTACAGCGAGAGGCACCCACCAGTCAAAACATGTCGTGGGCTTGGAATATGCCTAAGGTGTATGCTTTGATGACGGTTGAGGTGAGGCTCGAGGAACAGACATGATTTTCATAAGGGGGCATGGCCTCGTGGAGGCCCCGTATTTGACATCATTCCCACTGACGCTTGCTACTGGTTCGGAATCTGCCACACATTCTGTTGCCCTGGTTATCGAGGTCCTTCGCTGTTTTTTTGCGGTCGAGGAAAGCAAATGCAGCCGTAGATCGAGTTTAAATGTGAGGTCCCGGCAAGTCCCGAGGGTGGAAGAAAACTCTTGTTGTGGTTGGGCTATCTCATTAGTCTAGGACGGGTGCATCTGCTTTCCTAGCAGTAGCACTTATCCTGACATTTGTTCAAGGCCAGTGTATGACTGAACCTTTCGGGTATCTACATTATATTGAAAATTGCAGTGATGAAAGAAACTTTCGATGATAGGCTGATTACTGATGACGCCACTGGGCATGGACTTAATGACCATTTTGTCATCTGCTATCGCACTACTCTACTGGCGACCATTTTCCTCCAAAATCTGGTCGGCGACAAAAGTACACTTTTACCAGCCCTGCCAGTGCCTCCGCCCAAACTCAGCGGGCGCCATGCCCATGATATCTAAGGGTGTAATCCACCTGTATGAGATACGGCAAGACGAATCATGATTGAGGTGGTCAAACTGGAATCGAAGAAGCTCCTCTCAAAATCCAGGAATCCAGGCTCCTCTCAATGAGACCTCTGTGGGCTCTCGGTGCCGTCAGACCACCCAATATTTTTTTCTCTATGTTGCCCACACTCACTGTGACCGGCATGAATGCCACAGGGACCACACTGCCTCAGCGGGCCTAACGACACGGCCAGAGCTATCGCTGACGACCGGGCGGTGTGCTCTCATCTTGCCCACGGAGCGGGCCAGCCGGTGACCTGGGGCTAATTATAACACGGGAGCCGCGGAGCCGCCGTCTCGCGAAAGCGGCCGCTCGTTCTCACCGCACCGCCCACACCCTGCCAGCCGTCACGCCTGAGCCCGACCGGGGAGTCCGCACCGGTGACGTAGCCAAAGCCGAGGCCGCCGCACGGGCTGTGCGCGTTCAGGAATTCGCTCCGGCGCCGTGGTGTTGCCGCCGGCATAAACAGCATCAATGAGGACCGCCCGACGGGGCGGCGGGGCCGACGCACCAGGCACGTGACATGCGGCAGGTGTTAAATTTGGCCGCTTGGCGTTTTCTCCACGAATGCTTGAAGACCATAATGCGCATTCCTCCACTGAACCCACCCGTCACGCGCCCTCGTCACGCCTTCCTATCACGTCCATGCTTGCTATGGCATGCCTGCCATATTCATGTTAGCGACGCCGCCCTCGTCACGGCAGCCTGAGCCATCTGAATGCCGTGCAGGGCAGGGCTGGACCAGTGCCACTGAGCCCCACCCGATCCGAATGTCCGTCCGGGCACAACTGCCGGTGACTTGCCAGCACCAAGCGGCGCACCCGGGAGTCTCTGAAAGCAGGGGTATCTGCGAGATCGCGTCTAAGCCCTCTATCAGGAGCCACATGCGATGAAAAACGAAAAATGCGGGTTGAAGGGAAGGGCCCTCGCCCCTCCCCCCCTCACCCCACACCTCTTCGTTACGCCTATGTCCGGACGAGGGCTACATCTGATCGACAGTCGGCTCTCTTGATCAGCTGCTAGGGGCGGGGGGGGGGGGGGATTCGCCCACTCTCCGCGAATGTCTGAGGTGATGTCATCTGGGACTAGGTCGTATGGGGTTGACAGTCTGTTCTGTTCAAACAGTCAGAGCACGTGATCTCCGCGAATGTCTGAGGTGATGTCATCTGGGACTAGGTCTTATGGGGTTGACAGTCTGTTCTGTTCAAACAGTCAGAGCACGTGATCTCCGCGAATGTCTGAGGTGATGTCATCTGGGACTAGGTCGTATGGGGTTGACAGTCTGTTCTGGTTCAAACAGTCCGAGCACGTGATCTCCGCGAATGTCTGAGGTGATGTCATCTGGGACTAGGTCGTATGGGGTTGACAGTCTGTTCTGTTCAAACAGTCAGAGCACGTGATAATTTTTAGATCGGCTCGGAGCGTGCCCTTGAGTACGCGGTCGATCTATGAATGCGCACATGTTCTGACTTTTCCTGCAATTGGTATTTCATATCCTGTTTTCTGACAACAGCTCCTTCACAACTACGTGAGCTGCAGCAGCATGAATCAATCATTGCTGGAGTGAAATGCTGTAAGGAACCTATCAAAACATTTTTACAACATGTCCGTGTTCGTGAAGAAATGATCGGCGTTTATGCGCTTAGTAATCGACATCAGCTTGACATCAGACATCAACTTGAAAGTCATTTTACGCAATCGAGAAACTCTTGAAATGACTCTCCCTTAATATTTGCAGGTGCACACATTATTGCAATTTCTCCATCTGCATGCCAATTTGAATAGCCGATCACATGTGAAGTGCGACTCGGTGACAACAGACCAGTCGGCACTGGCGCGAGCCCCGCCTCAGCTGCGGCACGTGCCGCTGTGTCCGCCAGGCTCTGCGTTCGTGGCGCCCCGGCCGGTGGCAGGTAACTCGCAGGGTGGCGTGACACCGCGACACCCAGCAGCGCCTGGTGCCGTCACGTGACGCGTGTCGGCCGGCCGCTTGTGGGTCACGTGGTCACGGAGCGTGTCCAGGGCATGCAGGGCGAGGCAGGGCGGCGGGAGAGGACGCATTGGGTCGGGGGGGGGGGGGGGGGCACAACAAATCATGCCGTGTCCCTAGAGGTGACAGACTTATCAGGCGGCCCACTGAGGCGAGGGATGGGGTCAGCAGTCAGCAATTCGGCGGTCGACGAAACAGGTCGGCAGTTCAGCATTATGCAATTACAATTCACTTGTGAAATGCCAGAGCTGCTGAACATTTGAGCTGAATGTGTGTGCTTTGCTAATGTCGACGTCTCCTAAGGGGTAACGTTCGAGCTTTATTGCACATCAGTTCCAAAGCGTTATTTTGTCTTCTTTTGTTTTCATCTCATATTCCCCTATTTCAAACGGCACAGCCGCTTAACGTGTCGACGCTCTTTTAAGGATGTCCTAGCCACGCCGACGTTTGGCTTGTCCCCATCCAATGTGTCCGTTAGTGGTACATCCCAATCGCAGAAGGGAAACCAGACAACTGTTCGGAACTAACTCGATGTCTTTGGTCGGAAAACACAGCTGCTTGGCACACGAGGTCCCGGGATGACCGGATCAAAACATCCCGGGAGGGATCAACACGCCGAGGTAGCATGCCTCCAAACCGAACCAGGCGACCATCACCTCACCATAGGTGATAGGTATCCGGGTCATCTGGCGATCACGGAGCTGTCGCGTGTGCTGCCCTGACACGCCGTGCCGTGCCGCTGTGGTGCACCCTCGGCTTGATGGCCGGCAGTCGAGCCAGGTCGCTCCCTGCGCGGTATGCTGTGCCGCAACACTCTGAATTCGTCGGGGACGATTTCGCGGCCAGAGACGTAGAGCCCCCAATCAGAGCGGTGTCGCATCTCATTCGGTTATTCATGGCCAGTGGGCATTTTCTGGGCCAATGACCGCCTCTAGCATTTACCATATTTGTCGTAATACTGCCCAAAACAGCGTCATCGAATTTTCCAAGAGGACATGTTCCATCTCGGTCTTTTGGCGATTTCTGGGAGTTTTGACCCTACCGACATTACCGATGCGTGGGCCTGAACGCATCTGGATGCTCGGAAACGCACCAGAACTATAAACGTCACTTATGCCGTCTCGCAGACGTTACAAAACTGGCGGCAGCCTTACGAAACTGGGAGTCGTGGGTTGCACCTATTTCGCTGTACTATTATACTAACTTTTCACACCACGCGTTAAAGCCGCATAGACATGGCCTACGCACGATACGATGTATAAAGAGAAGAACTTTGGCAGCTGGGCGAGTGATATCTTCTGCTAAGATACTGCGAATGCATGCCGACATGGATCTTACCGATCAGTTGCGAAGGAACACCCCACTGTATGAAACACTCTGATCTGGACCAGAGTGGCGGGCTCGGGTATCATTTTACCCAGACCATAGTGGCGGGTTTGGGTACCCCGTATCCCATGACCCAGACTAGAGTGACGGGCCCGGGTACCCCGTGAACCGGACAACAGTGGTGGGCTTGGGTACCCCGGGCGCAGTCAGACACGTTCGCAGCGCGCGCCCTCTAAGGCGGCCGCAGCAAGGCCTTCGGCTACGCCCTCCTGGACCGGAGTTGCGTGGCCGGAAATGGCGAGCGCGCTGTAAGGCGCCAATGACAGGGATGACTGCGGAGCGTCGGCATGCTGGCTGCAAAACACCGTCAGGCGGCAAGGAAAAAAGGCCCGAATATCAGCGTGTATTTCCACCTCTCGTGCGTGGGCGCTTGGCACGGGCAGGTCGCTTGAAGACATTCGTACAAAAATGCCAAGCTGGCAAACATGACAATTCATCGCCAAAATCGTCACCTTCAAGCACCCCGAGGTCGCGCTGCGATAAACAGTCAGCACACAGCCTCGGCGCCCGTCACGTGTCTATATGTCGGGCCGTCGAACCGCACGAGGCTGGCGCAGCAGTCAACGCTACACTTGATCCCCATCACGAACGGAGTGGACACCCGAACGCAGCGACCCACGCTCTTATAATCACAGGCGTACTTTCCACGGCAAGCGAAGGTTCAGGAAAACGATAGTACGAGCCGCCGTCGCAACGCAGCAGCACGATGCCCCAGTACACCGATAGGTAGCATCAGGCAAGCCCACTCGATTGACGTACTTGATCAGAGGGTTTCCTGGACTGCGACCACAGCCGGCCGACCCCCGGCTGTGGCCGAAACAGACACAGAGCCGCGGCCCGCCCACCAGCGTCGTGCAAGCATCACTACCCCCACCACACTCTCACCTGGCCGCCGCGCCCACTCCCCATCCGACTGCCAGCACACAGCGTCGGTCTCCCGGGAGCTCCCGTCTGGTCCGATGACCACGCTCGGAGCGCCGCCGGAGCGGTCCGGAGCGCGCTCCGGTAGCGCCCGAGAGCGGCCCGGAGCACGCTCCGGCCGCGCCCGAGAGCGGCGGCCGCTCAGAGTGCCATAGCCAGCCAGCCGGCGATGAGCAGCATGCCTCCGTACGGCGTGACCCGCCGCACCGACTTGTCGCCGGTGAGCGCGTAATAGTAGCAGCTTCCGCTGAACACCAGGGTGCCTGAGGCCAGCAGGGCGGCGACCAGACCGGGCCGCCGACACAGCGGCGCGCCCAGCAGCGCCAGCGAGTGCAGCATGTGGTAGCGGTTGGCCGTCTCGAACACCTGCGGCAGCGCAGACACGGCACCGCTGAAGCATCGCCGGCAGGCGGCGCAGACGAACAGCAGCAAAACCGCGCACAAAGACCTATTTCATGAACGTGGGACGGGCAACGTAAGTGAGGCAATGCATATTTGTACCAATGCAAAGCATGTGTATAACCACCACAGACCATAATGTTTGAACGGATGCTCCTTCGCGAGTAAAATGAGAAACTGCTAGCTATTGCAATGACTCTTATAGGACGGATGGCAGGGACATCACCGAGCGCACGCCAGCACAAGCACCAGCGCCGAACACCAGCAGCGCGGGCTCTGTCCGGCACGCCTGATCAGCCCTACCGGCGTCCTCCGTCCGAGGCGTCACCTGACCGAGTCGCCGCGGGCGGACACGCCGTGCCGCACCTGCACCAGCTCCGGGTTCGGGTCGCCGGCACGCAGCTTGTGAGCGCCGTAAGCACCCAGCGCGACGGCCGAGGCGCCCGACAGGCCGGCCAGGCGCACCGCCGTCTGGCCGGCGGGGGAGAGCAGCCACCGGACCGGTGGCGCCTGGTAACGCATCTCCGGTACGGTGGAGCCGCCGCGGTTCTACCGGCACATGGGCAGCGAAACCGGTGAGGTCAGGTGTCACACGGGCGGGTAAGGTGTCACACGGGCAGGTCAGGCGTCCCACGGGCAGGTCAGGTATCACACGGGCAGGTCAGGTGTCACACGGGCAGGTTAGGTGTTACACGGGCAGGTCAGGTGTCACACGGGCAGGTTATGCGTTACACGGGCTGGTTAGGTGTTACACGGGCAGGTTAGGTGTCACACGGCCAGGTCAGGTGTCACACGGGCAGGTTAGGTGTTACACGGGCGCAGTATCTGAAATTTGGTTTTGGCTCTTAGGGGAGAGAACAAAAGTATTAAAATGTATCACGGCTTGTAGTGATAACAAATAACCCAAGTGAATTTGCGCTGCATTCACAGCTGGCACTAAAGGACGTTCTTTGGCAGCAAATGACAGTAAACACCATGCTCTAGCTGGTCTCAGTGATTGCCAAAGACCATTAGAAATTGGCTGCTTGCAATTCTTAAACTTTCTAGCGTCCTAAGTAAGTGCTTCCTTCCTAAGTGTTCGCTTGCACCTACTGCATTTTTTAAGCTATGGAGCTGATGGAGCGTTGTTGATATCGGCAATTCTAGCGTAAAGGTGTCAGTCCCAATAAAGGCTGATAGAAGCAGATGCCTAAAATGTTGTGCACCTGTTGCACCATTCCCCGGAGCAAATGATGCTAAGTTTATGATTGAAATGCCATGCAAGCCATAACATAATTAGGAGCATTTGGGGCATTGTAGTTAGTGCAGCTACATCCTACCCCAGGTACAAGCTTTCTCACCCAGAGGACTTTGGGACAATGTGATACCCGCCTAGGTTTTTACTGACCTAGATGTACTTAATTTGGGAACAAGTGTGTAGTTCCCTATTTAGCTGGATAGGATGCCGTCCCCTCCCCAACTTTGAGAAGAAAAAAACCTGATCAAAATCAGAGGGAACATGGTTTGCACCATTCTTGGGGATAACAGATTTCTCTACTCACCCGTTCCACCAAAGTTATGCACAAAACTACATCACCTGGGACGTCAGGATACTGCGTGGTCGGGGCTCGGAGGTCAACGCGGCAGGGGCGGAGGAATTATTTCATCCTCACAAAGCAATCCAGTCGCACAAGGTTACATCACTACATCTACTCACCGGCGTTGAGTCTGGTACAATACTATTCTCAGTGTATGACACCGAGCTTGACTTACATATCGCCTTTACCTACACTACCAACCAGTCGCGCTATCACTGCTCCTCGCGCGGCTCCTCCAAAACAAGGTCGGTAGGCTACATAAATGGCGCACACGCATTAGCAGTCTTCAACGACAGAGCCGCTGTAGGTTATTTATCAGTTTTGTATTGCTTTTTAGGACCGTATTGATTTTGCAAAAAAAATTGGTTGGCAAAACTCGACTGAACAAAAGGTAGATCTCAAAGCACGTAAACAATCATGTAAATACACCAGTAAAAGTTCAGTTCAATGGAGAACAAGAAGCCGTGCTTTAGCCTTATACTCAGATCATGATTCTGTGGCGACGCTCTGTAGATCGATAGAAAAAACTCCATGCTTTTGTTCCATGACCCTGTTACGCATTTTCATCACGTATTCAACTCGGATCTCTTGGTGGAGAATATATCTTTTCCCCAATGCTAAATCCTCCCCAAGAGCCGGAGACTCGCAGAGCCCAGGTTTTCCGCGTGACCGAGCGAGTGTTTGGGATGATGTTTGACGTCACCATTATACGTTCTATACAATACCCGTTTTTGATAGTTTCCAATAAAGCTTAAAAAGTGTTAAAATATACAACTAATTCACCTTATCTTTAGAGGTACAAGGAAGTGTGACATCATATAGTTCCGAATCAATTTTTATTGTATTACAATGATTTCTACGTGCAATTCAGAACCGTTGAACCGTGCCGTATACGAGATACTCTCTACGCTTCTCCCTGGTCCGTCAACAGACGCTGTTGTTGTTTTGGGTACGGGCTCGGGCCCGGTGTATGAGCGCGTTGGTGTCGTTGGATGGTAGGTGAGTTAAACATGTGCTGGTGAGCAGCAACAGACGTGGACACTGAATGCATTGCAAGGAAAGATTATGTGTGATATGTAGAGAGATTCGGCTGTAACCCTCAAGCAGTATACCTCGTTCAGTCGTGGTGTGGCGCGCGATGCTGTCGAAGTTGCAGGAGCAGCTTGCCTCCATCTGACGTCGCTCACAGAGAACAATTTTTTACATTCTGTCCGGTGTATATTTGTGAAGAAAAAATGCCTTTGAGCCCAAAACACCAAGAAACACCCCAGTTTAAGACACCGCACGGGCGGGTCAGGTGTTACATGGACAGGGTCAGTGGCGAGGTCAGGGGTCACATGGACAGGATTAGCGGTGAGGTCATGGGTCACATGGACGGGATCATCAGTGAGGTCAGGGGTCGCATAAACAGATCAGAGGTGAAGTCAGGGGCATGAACAGATCCGATATGAGATCAGGCGCCACACATACATGGCCTTCGGTGAGGCCAGGGGTCACGGGCGCCATGTCAGATGCGATGACAGGAATCACACAATGATCATCCCAGCGGCTAGGGACTGAATGTATCAACTGGACGGACAAACGAAAAGTTCAAGGTCGCATTCTGCGTGTTGACCTGCAATAAATGTCACTGATGAAACCCAACATGTCTCTCCAGTCCCTGGGATGAAACGGAATGGCGGTCGTAAAGACAAGAATAGTTACGTTAATCCGATACTACCTCTGATTCCTGTGACGCTTGTGGCATTCCGTTACTTCCAACCGACGAGCGAGATCCGTCAGCCTTTACCTGGCTCGTCCCCGTTGGTAACTGTATTGTGCCGTCGCCGGTCCGCGTCTCACGTTGTGTTTAACGCATCCTCGTTTTCTTCTGGGACAGGAGCCGATAACAGATGCAAGAGTTGCCGGTTGCTATCATGCAGCTTATGCAAGAAATTAACCTACTGGATCCAGAGACAAGACACCTTTGGAAACCGATATCGAAAATCAACCCTGTAGCGATGTAGCTTTCATGATAATCCAACAGATGGCGGTCCAGTCGCGCACGATTATAAAACCCACAGGATAGCCAGTTTGTCACAAGGCTGGTTTGACCAATGTGATGTAAAACACATGGAGCGCGTGATGTAGCTGATTCCGATCTTCCACACTCAATCCGGGTAATGTGAAATGAAATGTAATTGGTGGGACAGCCACATTGATGTGGCTTTCCGCGCCAATTCTCGATGGCACTACTTGAACCTGTACGGCTACGGTCAGGTTAAGCTAAGCAGCTTTCACCGACAAAGATCGATGAATTCGCAGAAACTTGCAGCTGGGAAAATGTGGACAGTGTTGCAATCAACAGAAATGTTTTGGTCAGATGTTGGTCACAGTAAGAATGTTGCAGAAAACAAGTTTGAACAATTCTTGACTGTGTGACGACCGAGCTCCTTTAAATGAGAATGATGTGAAAGCAGCATTAATGGCGGGAGGTGGTACAGGTGCCATAACACAGATCTTGTGAGCAGCAGTACAACAGTTGTGGGAGACAATCAATGGCTGATACTATATGTAATGGCTTGAAAAATGTCAACAGTTGGCAGATACACATCACATGACAGCTTGTGGGTCACACCTGTCTGATGCAATGAGATGTATATCCAGCTGCCTGGGAGACTGCAGACCACACCGTCTTGGAGATGGGGTTGTCTACCATCAGCCAGTGTGCAGTGTCAGCTACAGTGTCCATCAGTACACTGCAGAGGAGACCTCATGAACAGCTGGGCTGGAAGTTCTACCTATTGATATTACACAAATCACAGGAGCACTAAATTGACATACCAAAACTTAATGTTGAAACACATTTCTTCCAACATAATTTCATAAGGTTGCAGCCTGCCAAGGGGAAATTTTCATGAAGGAGATTGAGAGAGGTACAACAAAATGTTCAGCTTGACATGGGCCATCCACAAATTACATTACATGTGGGGGATGGAGATCCTTAAGACATTTCTTGCATTGGGATCCCCTGCTGACTATGAAATTTATGATTTTTTCACTTTCCTTTCCCAGGTATGTTTTGCGATGTTTAGAAGATATTCATCAGTCAAATTGATAGTGCAATAAATTCTATGAAAGGTTGAAACATTTTATTCCATGAAAAGATGTGTGTGTGTGTGTATGTAGTTGTCATCTATCACACAAATTCAATGAAATGTTATCCTTAAGCTTAAGTTCCTCTCATTGACAAAAGGTTCAGCCACATTTTTAGAATGCTTCCTGGCTTTGGGAAAACATTGCACCTTCACTCAGATGTTCAGTTCTCTGTGACACTGCATTTACAAAGCAGGTATAAATGTGCTAGCCTCACATCACATGATCTAATAGGTGACACACTGGTTCAAACTTCCACCAATCCACTCTTTTCTAAAAAGAGTACCCTCTGTTTTTCAAGGTGTACATGCACAGTTGTGTTTACACAGTTTTACATGCACAGAATTATACAAGGAGTATATACCTAAAAAAACTGAAAAATGCACAAAAACAATGCACGATGCATGCATAAAACTGTTATCAAACATTCTATCACACATCATATCAAAGTAAATGAATGTTTGCAGTTAAAAAACCTAGAATTGAGGCCTTCTAATATACCAGTGAAGGATATCACTAACCTAAAACAGGGCCTCCTGTTCCAAGAATTAGCCTCCTGACATGCAGACTGGCATCCTAGTCCAGAACAGAGTGTGTGTGATTCACAAACAGGTCCTAATTATCCAACCAAGGGGTCTTTCTCCTTTCCCAAACAGGACATCCTGATCCTCAACCACAGTCATCCAATACATGAAAACATGAAAGGGGCCTCCTGAATATAGATGTCTTCTCGGTCAGGGTACACATTGCTACCTCATCTTAAAAAGGGCATTGTACATCAATTGTTGTTTTTAAGGCAGAACGTATCATAATTAATCACAAAACAGGTCACCTTAACTATTACCTTGAAACTTACACAACTACAATAATGAACATCCAAGCATTGCAAGCATGCAGCAACCTGGACCCTGGCACCATTGCTATGCATGATCACAACATTACTGCACATCAAGAACCATAAAAATTATGGGGCCAAGGTTATAGGAATGAAATGAAATGTTTCTCGGGCATCCAAGCAGTCTCCCATATTGTTTGTAGATTGGTTGACATGGTGGGCAAACATGATGTTTTTGGGTAGGAATGAAAAGCAAAATGAGAATATGGTGGCTAAACAAAACTTCTTAATAGTACATATATATGGCATGAAACATGGATGTCAATGGGACACTGGGTTGAAGGGGATAGGGCTGGGTTTAGGCTAAGTTGTTAGGTTAGGTTAGGCTAGGCTAGGTTTGGCTAAGTTAGGTTAGGCTATGTTAAGTTCAGTTAAGCTAGGTTGGGTTAGGCTAGGTTAGGCTAGTTCAGGATATGTTCTGGACTATTCTGGCTTGTCTGTTTCACATATGTACCTACACATGATAAGAAACATTTTTCATTGCATTATTACTGTTACCTTGGCCCTGTACATTTTTTATGGTTCTTGATAAGCAGAAATATTACAACTACACAATGATAATGCACAAGCAGAGCTGGGGAGTCAAGGCAGTGGGGTGTGTGCGGCGCTAGGGACTTTGCTATCATAGTTATTAAAATTTGAAGGTAGGAGCATGAATCTGCCCGTTCATGATTATTTATGATATGTTCTGCTTTAAATACAATGAATGATGTACAATTATCTTTTTTCTAACAATAGGTACCAATGCATACCTACACCATCTTCTTAACAAAAGGGGCTTCCTGATATCTGATGGTGGCTTCCTGAGTCAGCAAAGGGACATCACTAACACAACATTGGCCTTCCTTACCTAGAGAAATGGTTACCTTACTTATAAAGGTGACCTCAGGATCCAGTCCTCCTTATCTAGAGCACTGATTACCCTATTCATAAAGGTCATCTCAGGATACAGAGCATGAGTCCCTTGATACTGAAAAAGGCCTTCTGAGCCTCATTCATTGGTCCCTAGCCCAGCTATACAGGTCTCCTCAGTCTTTGGCCAGAATTTGACACTCCTTAGGTAGCTACAATGCCTTTAACTAGGAAGAAAGGGCCTCCTAATTCTTCAGAGGGGAATGTTGGCAAAAACATACAATTGCAAACCCCATGCCTGCTTGCAGATAGGCAGCTGATCCTCCGACCCCCCCCCCCCCCCCCCCCCCTCCTTTCTTGCAGTGCTAGTCACATCAGCAGACTAGTTAACACTGGATTTGTATTGCTTTAACAGCTTTATTGGACACTGAGCTATAGCAGCAAGCAATAAACACCTAAGTAGCACTCACATAGTTGTCAGTAAACAAAAAATGACTGTTAATCGGGGCACCCTAATAAATCAATTGGAAATACACACCTGCAGCTCAAACACACACACCACGACCAGCAACCCAACCTCCGTGAAGCGCCAGCCAAGCACCGCCGCCACCTTTGTCAATCTCTGCTTATGTCAAAACATGACGTTTTAACTCATCCACCACATCCTCTTTCGCACCAAATGAGCTGAGCAATTGGCTACCGAAAAATCAAATTGGGAAATCTGCTCATAATGCTATCAACTGTCGTCGCAAGTTTATGACGTCATGGTATTTTTAGACGCATATGCGTTTCCAAATAGCTAGAGATAGTTCCTGACAAACTATCTCAAGATAGACCTGGGAGTTTAAGGGCGCGTTCGGCCGGCAGATAATCTCGGAAAATTATTCGGAATGTTGAGAAAAAAATCCGGAATGGCGTTCGGCAGTGCTGTCAGGGAAAATTATCCCAGATAATTTTCCGTACCGAGGGAGAATCGCGGATAATTTTCATAGCATGGTCGAGACAAAGAGACTGTTTTCACTATGCATATCTATGACCGTTGGCTGTGGATGGTGTATGGGCGATTAATCTGGGGGATAATTTATGAACCGGCCTAGTATACATGGCAAGTCTCCGCTGGTGAATACCGGAGAGATCACCATTCGTTGAAAAGTTTTCCCTTGGCTGAACGCGACCGTAGTCGACTGGGTATCATCAGCAAAAGACGTGAAGCTTAAGTCTTTGAATTTTCTCTGGACCCCAGAGTATTTTTAATGTTTTTATGGAACTATCAGAACGGGCGAATAGTTACGGTCGCCAAGTTGGCACTACATTCACATTCAGATTCAGCTCCACATTCGGGGTTCAACGGACTTCTCAAATAGGCTTGAAAATTTGTATACCGATGCAGTTTTAATATCCTGGGCGCACTGAGCGCCAAATCTCGGACCAGTACGCCTTATTACCAGAGCAATACATTCGTAACCACATTTAGTACGAAGGGTAACTAAGAGGGGACCGGTATTTAGTACGGATGGGTGATAAAAATGGTGGAGTTTAGTACTCATAGATGCCAAATAACGCAGACCTGTAGCCCAAGGCTCAACGGAGGAAATGGGGCTGTTAGGAGGTGATTCTCACGAATTTCTTTTCGTTCGATGGGAGTGGAAAATCTCCAGCATTCTGGGATCGCACTTCTCAGTTGATTGCGAGTTGCTCCTAGAACGCAGCAAGGTCAGTCGGTTGGTGGTCAGTGGAGAACATGGGGAACCGGTTAGGAAACGTGCCCAGAGAAACACTTGCACCTAATTTACAGAACAGCATTTCCTACCGGATGAGTATGACATTGATATATCCTGGACTACAGGCCTTGGGTATGTCGTCTTCCGGGTAGTGCGGGTGACGGAGTATGGAAGGGGCAGATCCAGAGTTGCTTCAAGGGGGGACCACGCGATATTGTTGGGCCTCCTAGAGCTTGGGACCCCCTCCAAGAAATATCGTCGTATTCCGGCCATTAAACTAAAAGCATACACACACACACACACACGCACGCACGCACGCACGCACGCACGCACGCACGCACGCACGCACGCACGCACGCACGCACACACACACACGCACACACGCACACACGCACACACACACACACACACACACACACACACATGCTTGCAAGACCTAGCTTAGTGACTCCGGCCGGCATGTGACCAGACACCATCCTGGCGGGCCCAAGCAAAATGTCGAGGTATGTTTACGAGGACGATGAAAATATACCACAGGTGGTTTTTCAGGGTGGCCAGCGCAATGGTGGCATCTGTGTTTGTCTCCAACGATGTTTACATTCTGCGTGTAAGCACCAGCTTGCCATGTCCGGCGCCCCGCTGGGTGGGTAACAAAGTGGCAGACAGGTGGGCGGAACCCGAAGAGGGGACGAATTGAATGGGTACCATTTCGGAACAGAAACGGCTCCACGTGCCACTGGAGGTTAAAATTACCCGCATGGAGGGAAGCGCTAATTGAGTAACACGCCACGCCGGCGGTGGTCAGGAGGGTGGGTGTCATCAAGGGGAGGGGACGGAGGCAAACGGTCGGCATACAGTTGTAGCATTCCGAGGCGGTTTGCCAGTGGAGGGGGAATGGTGAACAAGATGCAGCGGATCGTGCGGGCTTCCAGCTGTTGTCACTCAAATAGCGCAGGGTTATTTTCAATAATAAATTCGTTGTTTTAGCTTAGCGTTGCGTCAGCTCTCATTGCTACCAAGCCGTCATATAAACTGCAAATGCATCGTCATTGTTTAAATGTACATCAGCTGGACTGTAGCAAGTTTAAAAAATGTAGACGCACAACCCTGATACCACGTGAGTTTACATGCCGTTTTAATTTAAGTGTTTGAATGTAATATTCTCCTTTTCGATGAGCAAGTGAGCGGTGCATTTGTTACATTTGCACATGTGGCCCAAGCGCAGAACCGGAACCAGCATATCTCCTAAAGGAGGAATCTCCTACAGCATAGGCAAAGATAAAGGAAGTGAATATTGACTGGAGATTTTGGCAATTAGGACATATCAGTACGTGACACGAACTGTACGTTGTGGACCATGCGTTTCAAATTGGGGAGGGGATTTTCTCCAGAGGGAGTAAACTAGAGTCTCTGGAGGCATTCGGATGTATCTAATGGTCTCCGAGTCAAGATAGACGGCCGTCCAGGCCACACTAACAGGTCGGCACTGACTGAAAAGTGATGTTGCCTCATGCATAGCCATGCACCACATGCAGTAAAACGAAATGATATGGCGTAATACCTAAACCCACTGTCCCTTTACCGCTCACCTTAAGTTTTCACGCACAGGCGATGTATCTGGAGTGATTCATTCTGTGACCTTACTTGTGCCGCCCGAATGCAATCGATGTGGAACACTCCTTGTGATCTATCAGCCCTTAATATGATTTGTTTCACCATGTTCCTTTTTACATAGATATCGTAAGAGACCTAATTTTGTATGAAGCTTTTATATGCTCCAAAACTAGGGTAACCTCTCACCAGGCCTATGGAAACAGCCGATGAAATTGCTGTTTCAGTAGTTTGGTTTTGCTACGTACAATTTCCCCATTTCACGGCTTCTTATGTAGTCTCTAATGCGAAGTTTGGTTTACGTTTAACGCGACCAATATCTAAGCTTTGTGCTAAGCCCGCTGACACTGCTCGGAGAGTTGTAACCGGTCTCGCTGATTTTCTTGGGCATTGCAATACCTGAACGCAGAGTTGTTACAAAATGGGGTGTTTTGCTATGGACAACCACCATGGTTTTAAGCCGGGTGTGGAACAGATCATAAGAATACACGGGCATCGTAAATGGTCCGACACACTTGAAACACGCCAAACCGAAATTTGTTCTTGTAAACATTGCTTGGGTGTTCCTGTCATCGCGTCTATCGTTATTCGCGGATATCGCTGTTAGCGGCCGTAACGTCACGCAACTTTACAAAGACAAAACTGCTAACATTTAGACGTACGAGTAATCGGTGGCAGGCGAAAACATGACGGCATTAGTAACGCCTTGAAGTACCTTATTTGGCTTGACGCGCACAGCCTTGTCAAGTATTGTAGACTATTTGTCATTCACGCAACTGTGACCGCATGTAGAGATATCAGGTGACCGCAGATCGCCCACACTGTCGGCAACGAAGCACAAAGCCAATACGAGACCCGAGATGCCATCTGACACGTTTTACCGAGTGTGTGTACGGATAAGGACCGTCACCACCTTTGCTAGCGTGGAGCGCAGGAGTATGATCGGCTTGCATTTATTGTAATCCTGCGTAACTTCACATACCGGTGGAAGCGAGACCTGGTGCGTGTGAAATTTGCAGCCGGTGATTCGTGTTGTGTGTGAGCATATTGCTGAGTTTTATCACGTACGCAAC